GTAAAGCATGAACAATATTTGGTTTTCCACATCAGACAAATTTAGAGAACTATATAATAGAACAACTTTGATATCACAATATCTCAATACACTGTCTAATTAAGTTTGGCATTGTCTTGTATAGAGGCTACATTCCGACAGATAATGTTCTACGTCTTCACAAACATTTCTACAAACACATGATGGGTCATTTATAATGTTAACTCTGTATAAATCGTAATTCAAATTGCTACATGAATGCCGTAACTTGTATGTAAAATATTGAATTTTCTTTTTCAAACTAGATAGAAATTGGGTAAAGAATCGATATTTTGTTGAAGTCCACTCTACATCATATTGTACATAATTTGAAATACTTCAATCCTCATACTTTGAGAAGAAAATCAATACACCTATAAATAGAATTGGAATTTCCTTGGTAAATATATCTTACTAAGTCGCTAAAATTGGTTTTGACAGAGAAATAAATTATTGTCGTAATTACAGCAAAGATCTTCGGGATTCCGCTGACAGCGTATCTTCACATCACTGGACAAAACGTGTTCTGACCAATGGCGAACTGTACCTGGGCCTCTCTGCGGCAACGTCTTTTGTGCTGATAGAAAGTGAGAGCATGATTCAGTGCAGTCAGAAAGACAAATGATGTGATACATCTCTGTCAGAACGCAATAATAGTGTGGTCATTAGGATATGTCATACAGTATAGTACGTTCCGTCACGTGATACAATGTAGTCGGAAGGCATTTCGCGTTGTATACAGATAACTTGAGTTAAGACACGTCACGGGATTTAGTGGAACCAGACGGGTATGTCATTTGGTATAATTCGGTTAAAAGACGTCACACACAATACAGTGCAGTCAGATGGGTATATCACGTGATACATTGCATCAGGCGGGCATTTTATGTGATATAATGCGGTCATAAGGCCGTAATATGTTGAAGGAATCGATTCTTATATCAGAGTTACTTCCCTTTTCTAATCCGAGGCTGTCAAGTGTAGCTTTGGCATAGCGAATAGTGTGACCGAGTACAAATCTTGTTATACGATCCGCAGTCAGACCGAAAACTGCTCTCCATTTCCCAGTTTATGATACTCCATGAGTAAAGTACACTGGAGTGTAGAAATTTGTTTTCTGTTATTTATTTCTCATTTCTCTCTACTTTCTGAAACCTACCAACTGCGTACAGTACAGTATTCGTCACGCGACGCCGTTATCACGCCCCGCGTGCCCTGACCTCACGTGCTAACACTCTCTGTCATCATCACGTCACAGTTTGAGTACCGTAGGGTACAATATATTTGTGTCTTGCATTCATGCACGAAATTCGAAATTTGAGCCACGTCCTCATCCTCAAAATAGTCAAAATAGGGTACATGGTGTGCCTTAGTGTAATAGTGTGTTCAGGTTAACCGATGGTCGTGAAATTTAACTGTTTCGTCGATATAAAAGCTTTACATACTTCGTTTTCCTCCATTATACTTCCTAAAACAGGGTACTGATGGTGATTTTACCAACTCGTGTATGTCGATTTGATCAATTGACAAAATCAATCAAAATATGATTACGTTTGTTCATTTAATCTCACACATCGAGACAAGGTCAAAAAAAGCTAAAGCTTTAAAAGTAACGCTTTGTGTAACACACGGAAGGAAAATTGTAGAATTTCAATTATTTTTCCTCCCATGATTCGAGCCTTCTTTATGAAGTATCAACTACCGGGAGGGTCATGCATTTTTGAAAATTTCTGTCGTGGAAATTGACTAATGTAAGATAGCTATCTTCTCTTTTAAGATCTATGAATCGCATGGGAAGGAATGTGCTATACACACTGCCGAGTCCTGTTTGTTCTCCCCCGCAAATTTAAGAGATTTCGCTTCAAATAATCATCAACTATATACTGCTTCCGGTTAATATAAGTAGCCGCTGGTCAACCTGACCCCACGTGCCTCTCATCGACAGTGTTCTCTTTTATCGTATACATAGTTGTCTGTAGCAACATTCTAAGGATCGTTGTTCACCTCGATAGTTTCCGCAATGACGCATAATTTTTTTTCTCGTACTTACGTTTTTGTTAAGAGTCCTGACGTGTCGGTTCGGTGACGATCTGGTTTGAGAGGGACACACTTTAAGCTCAACATCATATTTTGTGTGGGCTCATAGAAAATTTTGGGGTTAAAGTGAGGGGAGGTGGAGGGGGAGGTGGTGAAAAATATGTTCTAAATAAGTAACTGGTGATAACAAATAAAAAAAAAGATAAAAAATATTAGCTTTTTAAATGATCTAACAATTTCTACTTGCTAACTATAAAATAAGTTGACGTACCATTACGGAAACATAGCTTATACCTGTCAGAAAAATTACTGACCCTATAAAACCCTGAAGGACCTGGTCAGGGCTAAAAAACAGATCACATAGCGCATTTTCATTTTAATCGACGTTTATTACAGGAGTCCATTTGTCTGATTTTTATGAAATATGTTTTAAATATAAACAAGAATATGTATTCGATACAATGACGGCTGACCCTTTCCGCCCCCCCCCCCCCCACCATTGCTTAGCAGTTTGTGGAATCACGGATTATATCTCTAAATATCTCTATCTCTAAATACCTAACATGTCTACAGGGTTTATATGATTCACTGATATTTGAAAACTATATTTTCAAATTAAAGAATATATTTTTATAACCTTAAAAAATAGTGGAAAATGTCACGGTGTAGTTTTCGTCGTTTACATATTTATCATGATAACACGGAGAAGGGGTCTGTAAAAACAGGGACACATATAGTCATATACTATACGCCCAAGGATAAAACTTTCCACAAAAAGTGCTAATTTTCATATTTCATCAATTAAGTGGTGCAAAATGCACCGAAACAAATAAAAATATGTACATGCAATTAGCGTATTTATGATTTAGAAGGCCCCGGGAAAATAGACTGGGCTCATACAGCATTTGATTTGTATCTGACTATGGTATCAATGTATATCTTATCATTAAGGTCTGGCGAAGGACATAATTGACTACCAGCTAAACTGACCACCGGTCAGAATGCTGACCATTAGCACGTGCCACTCGTCGTGTGTTAAGTCTGTTGTTGGGCAGAGCATGTGTCTGTCTTCGCGTGCTCATTTTCACAGATTGGTGTTTATGATGTGCCAAAGTGTTTTCGTCTAGTGGGCCACTTAATACAATATGGGAAAGCTGGACCTTATGATCAATGTAAACCGAAATGACTACTCTCGTGGTTGTACTCTTAGATTGGTGAAATCTGAGTTTCAGAAAAATACGTCTTTTCCCTCTGAATTCTTTATATAGCCGTAATATATTTATGCACTTGTTGACCTCGCTAACCTAGGTATCGAAGTCACTGGCCTTTTCGTTACATGATTTGGTGATTAATATTTAATATATTTTAATTTCAGGTAGTTCTATTTTCATATGGTTATTTTGAACAGTGGCAAGAGTGATACAGATTTCTAAAACCTTGGCGACATTGTTGGTGACTAAGTTAGTCGGCTGACAAAACTGATAACTCATAATTCTGCTACAGGTCAGAGCCCTATGTAAAATGTAACATGATATTTCGCCATGATAATATCGACGTAAATTTAACTGGCTATTGTAACTCTGACACAGGCCCTACTTGCTTTCGGAACAAAATGTCGGTTGACCTCTGTGTTAAATGTATGTACGTACATTTTGTATATACGAGATCTCTCGGGCCTCCTTGGGCGGACAACTGCTTTCACACTCGCGTACACAAAATAGATTAGATTGACATAAAAATAAAACACCATGGACGATAAAAATATTTTAAATAACATTTTCTGTTAATGTTACAAGCAGATTTCTCCACACCATGATGTGTTTGCCAGACACAAATCGGACGTGTTTTCTTCGTTTTGTCGCAAAATGACAGCATTTCTTATTACGAGAGGCAACTAATTCACCACCATGAAAATTTCTTTTCTTCGTTTCCAATGCAAGATGTAAGGTAAACGTCACTGATGCTGCTGATGTGATGACGAAATAAGCTCAAATAACCATAGTTACACATCATCATCATCCTCGTCGTCGTTGTCGTCGTCATCATCGTCGTCGTCGCCACTGTAATCTTGCGTTGTATGTATCTCCTGATTGAAGAAGTACTTATATGGTGATTATCTTATTACCTAGCTACTCTACACTCTGTCTGAGCCAATCTACGGGAAAATGAGTTGCGGTCAGTAACTCAGTTATCAGTTAGAACAATCTATGTTCCGTTTAGATCCTTTTTGATAAGTATGTTAGTTACAGTACATACAGACGCACTAACACGTTCAGGATTATGGTAATCCCCTAGAAGTTAACGATATGCCAAGGATAATATATTTAAGAACTTTGTAAAAAAAACCTTGTAAGTCCCTTTAATAAAACCGCAAACAGATCAGCTGTTCGCCGTGGTACATAATCCGGTTTACCTGTACTAATAAAAAATCACCATAATTGATAAGAAAATAGTATGTGGCCTCCCTTACGATACTTGTTTCTTCGTAACGTTAGAACTCATCCAAAATATATTCGTCACCCCCTCCGAAATGTGGGAAAATCCCGGCTGTTCCAACTAATAAACACACGGTCCATTGTCTGCATTTAAGTGTTATGCACTATAGGGCTCCGTGAAAATAGAAGTGCTTGTAAAAAGTATTTCCTGACTAAGAAAATTTTATCATAGTAAGTAGTTAAGGTTTAGAGGTAAAACTATCAAACGACCAGGTTATTTTTAGCCGCGGTGATTGACACACAACAGACGAAAGGGGGGCGGGCGGTATGCAAACGTATTCACTGGGTACCGGAGTCACTGGGCTCGAACGAAAGTGACTTCACTTGCAGACTAAACGTCCAGAGGAGAGAAACTACGCTGTATTTCCTTGGATAGACAGCAGTCTGTTTTCTCTCGGGAGGGGAAAGTCGGTAATTGTTTAAGAATAATATATATCTGGAGTTGTTTTAAACAAACCCCCATGATTGTGAAAAAAGTGTAATTTTAAGAAGCACCCGTGTTCCTTGGTACCAAAAGGTACCCTGGATTCTGTGTCCTGTGGCTGAGGCTTAAATCCAGGAAAATGGTACTGCCGAAACCATCCTCCCCGCAAAAGTGTATATGGACCTTGTTAGTTATTCTGATTCTTTGGAATGGGATAGATTTAGCACAAACGGTGAGTATATATGTTTAATATTGTATAACATTGTACATATATGTTATAATATTTTGCTGAGCCAAGTTGAATGAAGTTGCTGTGTTCGCGAAAAGTTGGATCATGTCGGTAGATGTGTTTATGTGAGAAGTTGTAACAGAAACGACGAAAGAATCTTTGTATATATATAGATGTCAAACACGAAAACTGAATTCAGCTGGAGTGTGGTCGCTAATCATTGTCGCCCTGTTAGTGTACACATGTAGGTTTCGTCTGCTGGAACATACACGGCGATATTACTCCTATAGTCTGTTTCAAATAAATGATGACACCTCTTTTCGCGGAAAAATGTTATGTCGGAATGAAATAGCTCACGAAGGAAAAAAAGCATCGTATTTCAATTTTTTATCCAGTGTTATGAATTAATTTTGTAAACCATTAAAATATCGGTGAAATGCTTAAATATGAAAGATTGCACTTTTTTTATTGTCCCCCATTCAAGAAGACATATAGAATTTGAAATATGAATTAAACCAAGGGAATTGATGCAAAATATGGGTTAATGAAGAGATGTCTTTAAATTTCAAAATCGTTTTTACAGCAGCAATTGAAAATGGCATGTAAATTTTATCTTGACTCTAAAAATGACTGTCCTTTGTTATTGAAGTTGCCAAAATTTTATGATTCTGTCATAAATTAAGTTTTATTACAGACAGAAATATTTCTGACACCAGTTTATAACAGTATCTATTACCAACTTATCAAACAGTATGTTAATAAGTTACTTCAGTTTATTCCTACCTCATATTAGAGTGACCCTGATTTGGATGAACAGGAATAGGGTGCTTATATCACATATTGTCACCCCCACCACATCACCCCCCCACGTTTAACACAACACCCCCCCCCCTAGTTTTTGACCAGATATTACTATTAAACCCAAATTACTCCTTCTCATGTTTCATTCATCCATTATTCAACAAAACTAAATTCATGTGATTATTAAAACTCCCTCCTGAAGCACTTCCCCATTACCCCCCAGCCCCACACCCTTTCATCTATTTATAGTGATAGCATACCCCAGGATATCTTAAAGATACCAGTTGCTGTCAAAATCCCCAAATCCTGACCCAGGCCCCTCATATAGACCCTTATGTGTTTGCTTGCTCTTATTATCTGACCCCTTAGGAAGTGTCCTCCTACGCTCCTAACCCAGCTAATTGCCCTGCTTTGTTTAGCCTGTTATCTGAATCAACATGTTGATCACCAGGTAAACTTTACTATATAATTGACCATTGGTTGTGTGACATAATACAGGTGTGGTCAGTCTAATGTCAAAATGACCACAGTGGGACTGACCATTGTTTGTTGTGTACCAGACTTTTGACCTGTATCCATACACACACACACCTGTATACCTATCACCTGAGATTACAGGTGTGATTCACTGAATAACATCATTGTACACAAACTTGTTAATTCATCACAGTTGACTGTTAGTATACACTGATTAATTAATTACCCTGACAAAAGGTACTCCAGGTATACACCTTTTACCTGTAAGATACATAGAATTATACTTACAGAACACAACTAATATGTTAATAGAGAGAAGTCCTTGTAAAGTGGTGGATTTTGTGTTCTCATTGATACTACAATATTGAAATGATTTCCACAACAATGAAATGTTTTTACTGAAATTTTACTGAAAACTTATAGGATTTTGTGATATTAACTGTATCCAAGAATCACTTATTTCACTTAGTAAATGGAAATTTTTGCGTCTTTTACGTCTACAACAACGTACATGTATACATAAATCATCATTTCTTGACTGTAGCTATGTAATATATCAATATATGAGGCAAGACCAAAAATTTTACTAATTAAAATCCCAAAATCCTGACCCAGACAAAATTTTACTAATTTTTGGCAGCATTTAAGTTGTACTCAGATCAGGTTGAAATATTGATAAAGAAGTATTTAAAGTAACCATCCTCGGCAAACTAAATATTAAAAAAATTGAATAAATATAATCATCAGCAAATTTAATTTGTTTATTAGATAAAAATGAAAAAATCTGGTAGTTTATTTTGAAGTGCTCTGTCTGCCTGATGAATAAATATATGTTAAGTGTTGTATGAACTGATTAATGAATAGCTATAGTGATATATTGCAAAGTATCTTTTATAATGGGATGAAGATGTTATATATTTTGAAGACAAACAATTTGTTGGAGATATACACCAGAAAATCACGACCATATGAGTTGGTGTGTATAGAATGGCATTGTTCATCAAGGCAGGGAGGAGGCAGAATGGAGAAATATTGGAAGGAATGGGGAAAAGAATAAAGGAGCTACGAGATCGAGAGATAGATATTAGTTACAGAAAGATGAAACAGAAATAAATCAAGAAAAATATACAACTCCCTAGAACATAATTGCCGATACAATGCCAAATCTTTGTTCCATCTCCACTCTGCCTGTAGCAAATAACTTAGTTAACTTCAGATGTATTCACCATCCTCCACCTAGCTATCTGGATGTACTTGATACACCCATCTCATTTCTGACAACTGTAATATATGTATATGTACATGAATATAAGGCTATTATTTTTCCTTCCTCCTTTCATCTGTCGACAACTACCCTCTTTTCTTGGATTTGAATACAATTTGTGTATTTGAAAACTTCAGTTTTGAAAAGATGATATTAAATACTTGCTGCATTAATTTCTTATGGGCTCTTTTATAGAAAATAACTTACAGACCATGAGAGGACTAGTACAATAGAATTTTGACCCTGTATCTTCAGTTGTATACTTATTTTTGCTCAAATTCGTGTAAGAGAAATTTGGTATTGCATGCAGGTCATTCTATTTTCTTTATTCTCTGTTACTGTGGTAAACAAATCCTAGGGATGGACTCGTTGCATGCAGTGACCAGTTTGAACTGTCACAGGAAATCTCCAGTTTCCTTAACTTTTTAGACAGACCAGAAAATAGACCCATGTTCTAAAGAAAGAATATGATTGATATATGGTTCATGAACTTCTTGTTTTTCAGTGGTCCATCATTAATATTCTTAAAGGCTGTGAGGTAGTCGACAGGGTGCATTTTTCTACTCTTGTTTGTTTTATTATATATTTGATCAAAAACTCCAACTCTAACAGAATGTCATTACATAAATGCGGGGAGGTATATACCGTATTTGACCTATAATGTGTCCATGTTCATAAAAGTGCCCCGCCTCCATTTATTGGCATTTGCGTCCTGTTAAACAAACTTGGTCCCTCCCTAATTACAATTTAAATCATAATTGTTTTACTGAAGTCCTGCAGTAAACCATACCAGTTGTAAACAATTCTGATCTTGTCAAAAGTGTTATAAAGTCACTCCTAAATTTCTGATTTTTATAGCATCATGAATAAAGAATGGGTTGACCACAGTACCTTGTTCACAGAAAAGTGTCATTGTGTAGGATTTTTATGTTGTAAGAAACAAATTTCGCTGCCTGAAAGAATTGGGACCATTGATGTTTAAAACAGATATTCGTTTGAACATGCACTTATTCAAATTCATATTTGACTTGCATGTTGACAACTAAAGGTAAAATTGAACAAGCCTTTAGTTCACATGACCCCAGAAGCAGAAACTGTTTTGTCAAATATATTGGTATGGCCATTGCACAAATTTAGGGATGAATCTTTAAAATTTCGAAACTGTTTTTGTTATAAAAAAAATAAATTATGCACATGTTGAGTTAAAGTACTTGAAACCTTAGGTGTCAGAATAGCCAGATATCATTCAAGAAGTTTTAGGATGGGGTAAATTTAAAAGTCCTTATAGGTTATTGCATGCGAAGAAGTCATACATTGATGGGAGGTCGTATCAGCCAAAACTAAATTGTGTAGGATTACGTTACTTGTGTTTTTTTTTTGTTTGAACTTGGTCACCCCAATTACGAAGTACTAGTGGTAACACACTCCTAATAACATATAAATTAGCTGACAGAAAGGTTTTAATTCTGGTAGCTTTGCGATTGTATTTCAACTCAAGTTGTGTGTGGTTCATAATCATATGAATGACTGGTAAGTGTATATACACTGTAATGATTACAAATCCTTTCTTGCACTTTCTTTACATCTCGTTTACTGTTCGTTCAACGGAAGACCCTTTTTTTATGGAAGTAGCTTGTGTTAAGTATCACTGTTGTAAGAGTTGGATAGTGAACTATAAAACCGGTGGTTTTCAATAACCCTACTTTTGTTTGATGTGTGTACTAGAGACTTGCGATAATTAGATGTGCAGGTTCAACTAAAATCCATTAATCATTCTTCATAAAAGTTAACAGGGCAAGTTTTTATTTTCTGGTCAAGACTCAGCTCATTGGCTTTGCTTTTTGTAAGAATTTTCATTCGAGTAAATTTTCTTGTTTTGTCTGGATGGTAGGTTTTTCAGTGCGTTGTCCCATTTCGGCAGAGCTGTATTATTCATTCAATAAGGTTACAACTAAGTCAGAATTAGTCTATAGCTAGTCATTATTAACAGTTGCAATTAAGGGTGAAATGAGTTTAACAGGTGCATTGAATTCATAAAACATGCAGACAGGTAAAACATTTAATTAAAGTATAATTAGATGCCAAATTAAAAAATAAACCAAGACTTTATGAAAAAGACGATATGGTTGTATGGTACCAAATTTTATGTATTGATATATTTATATATATATATACATAGTTGTTTAAATTTCCAGCTGGTATACAAACTATTAGATGGGACTGAGTGAACTTGTTAAAGCAACAAGGAGACTATTTAAGTTCAATTTATGTTCTATGTGAGTAGAGACCACCTCCTTATGACCCAATGATAGAGTTGTTATGTGGTGCAGTGGTAACGCACTACCCTTTCACCTAGCTGTCTGGGGTTTGATTCTCGGAGTGGACATGAACAGGTATGGGGTCACCTGCCTGACCATAGGGCTTTCCCTGGGTAATCCCGTTTCTTCCTACTGTAAGACTC